GTATATTAATAATATTGAATTCCTTTTATACTTCTTTACCTGGGAAGAAAGCAAATGAAAGTATGTGTTCATATCCACCTCCATCATTGCATACTGAAGGCAGCCTCTGAGTGGCCGTACAGCCTTCCTCTGTTCCTGCCCCAGCCTCAGGTAACAGATGGAGACAGAGTGCAACAATGGGGCATAAAACATCTAGAGGAGTTTTACCAGCATGGCTACAGAGCTGCGGGTTCTGCTCACCTTTGTCCAGGTAACTCAATTTCTTTGGAAGTTTATTAATGACAAAATAGAGCACAAAATAAATGAATACCTGCTCTGACAGATTTGTTTTTGTCACATTCTGAGCTCTTCAATGTGTAAGGGCACCTACATACAGCTGTTCACTAACATTATTCAAGAAGCACAGCCACATCTGGCCATTTCAATGATACAGTTTCATATGTGTTACTTTTTCGCCATCCTAGTCTTTTACACAGATGAAAAAGAACAGATTATTTAATTAGATCAGTCAGTTGGAGTTTGCATGTAAAAATTAGTTTCAGTGATAGTTAAAATTATATGTCAGTCTAATAGTTCTTCTTTCTGCAACCCCCAAAGTACCAGGAGATAATATTTTTTATCATGTGCACACAAGACTAAAACCCACAACAGCTGTTAACAAATTCCTATCTTCTTCACACAAGATCAAACAATATAATCATATGAACTTTCAGTCTTACTCTACCCTGACACTACATATAACTTATCTGATTCTTTGAGGAAAAGAAGAAAAAAAGATACAGTCTAACTTGTGACACTGTGTCTGCAAGAACTCTGTAAGATTACCTAATGATGTAAGACAGTGAATTGCAAATTGTATTGACTGTCAAACTTTTCATTTATAAAAACAACAATAATTACCAAATATGTACAGAAATTTTGACAGAATCAAAACTACAAATTCAGTCCAAAAGATTTGTTCAGTAATTCAATCAAATTTCTAATAATCTGTAATCTTGATCTTTAAATTTGAATATGTTATTTGTAACATAATTTTTATTCAAATTTCAGGTTTCAAACTAAGCCTGAATATTGTGCAGTTTTATTTGTTGCTTTTGTTAAAATTAGATTATTATCACCATTCTGTCCATTGATGCTCTGAAAACCTGCTCTGCACCTCAGAAGTTGTTGCTAAAGTTTCCCATCAACACACTGTGGTATTTCCAGAAAGGTAGCTCATTAGATCAGATTAAAAACCACATAATCAGTGTGTTTGATGACTTGGACTGATGACATGTCATCACTGTTGCACAGATATGGTCCCCAGTATTGAATGTTACAAATACAACAACATCAGGCCTCCGTACACCTACGCCTACCTGATAAGATGGGTGAGTTTCTCTACTGTTACATCTACTGTACAACACTGCCTCAGTTTAAAGTTTAAAGGTACAATATTACAACCAGCTCCACTGTTGCCTCATTTGTTGTTGTGTAAAACTTTTGACTCTGCCCTCTAGTACCATCTACTGGCTGTATCTATGCCATCATAAAGGACGCATGGAAGTATGAGGGCAGAGATGTTTGCAACGTTTGAAACGGACGTATTTATAAAGAAGGTATAAATGGACCTTCCAGCCTACACTGAGGGGGTACTATCTAGAAAAGTACCTGGTAAAAAAAACAGGTTGAGCCAAGTTGAACTGAGCTGAACCACGCTGTGGAAATAAGGCAGATATGTCAGATGAATGGCTGGATTGACCTGACAAAAAATAGTTTAAATTAACTCTAGAATAAATGTATTTAGAGCTGAAGAAGCGATTTAGATTCAAGGCCCAAATTCAACTGTTCGACTGTGGAAAATGACATTTGAAACACAATCATTCATTATGACACAAAGTAGACACACATTGCCTGTGGTGAAAATAACTGGATTTGATGTAGTCTAGTTCTGCTACAAACTGTTGCAACTGTACTGTCAACATTTTTTCACATCTTGTCCCTGTGTTTTTCTCACTGTGTTTGATGTTTGCAGTCTATCCTGGAGTCTCCGGACAAACAGCGCACTCTGAATGAGATTTACAACTGGTTCACTACCATGTTCTTCTACTTCAGACACAACACTGCTACCTGGAAGGTAAGTGCTGCACTGTTTTTTCTTAGGGTCCAGTCTCACTGAGATTAACATTTCTCTTTTCTTTTAAATGAATGATAGGACTCTTCAGTCTTCCTCACTTAGAAAGTGAGATTGTCTAATGTTAGTGCTGCAACAACTAATTGTATATACACCATTTAATCAAGAAAAGAACAAGAGTGTATTGTCCTGATTGATGGCTGTTTTCTGAGTAAGAAAAGCAATTGACCAGTCAGATGCAACCAAGCAGAGCTTTGGTGGAGGTAGAGCTGTCTGTGGGGACTTGGCTTGGGACACAGATAAGGTATACGGAGTGTGAACTGCTAGCTGGAGAGATGCCAGTTCACCTCCTGGGCACTGCTGAGGTACCCTAGAGTGAGGCACTGAACCCCAAATTGCTCAGGGTACTACGCTGCAGCGACCCATCATTCTGACATCTTTCCACATTGATGTGTTTGTGTGTATGTGTGTGAATTAAAAGTCCAGTCTGTGAGTCTCTGATTTAGGGAGGTATATTGGCAGAAATGGAATACAATATTTAGAGATGCGTGATAATATCGGCACATCATTGGTACTGGTCTGATGTTGCCTTTAAAATTAAATATTGGAATCAGCCAACATGCCAATTTCTGCCAATATGACAAACCTATTTTTAAATGTCTTTAATTTCTTTTTAATTGACATAGTGAACACTTGCAAAACATTAGGTGAATGATACAGCACAGGCAACAAAACTTATCTTAAAGTTATACAAGTATGATACAAGTATGTATAAAGAATAAAAATTACGAAAATTAAAACTAACAGATCAACAGACAATAAATATGTGTAACCCTTTCATAGCTGGCTTGTACCACAAAGCAGTGAAGCAGAAAAGATAACTCTGGCATGCTTGTAAATGAAAATGAAAAGGCTGTTAACCAAAGATAACGTGTCTTAAGTGCTTATCATTCTGTTACTAACTTCTTGGTGCAAAAGGATGAAATGCTGATACCACTGTGTTAAGATAATATTCACAATCACCATTAATTAACCAAACACCCAAATAAGTTTGTCATTTCAGGGTATTAACAAACTGTTATGAATAAAGCATACTTCATGATAAAACAATTGGGCCCACAGATGTGTTACCCTTACAGTCTGTGAAAGTCTATGTAGTATGTACTCTGGAGCTCAGAGGAGTGAATCTGTCTGTTCAGAGTTAAATAACTTACAACACCGCACTGTCCTGACCATGGTAAATCCAGAGGCCACTGTCGAACAAGGTCCTTCACAGAAAACAAAAAACAATTTCCATGCTAGTTAGAGCAGTGAAGAAGAATTGATAACAGGAAAATCCAGGTTTTATCCAGGTGTGAAACTACTTTGAATAAATTATGTGGTATCGGATCGGTGCGTTGACTACTTGCCAATACCCAATCCTGCATTTGGGCAGTATCAGAGGCATTTCCAATATTGGTATCAGTATCAACTCTATTTTCATTTGTGTATAATCACCTGAAAATACAAATCGTGATTTTGTTACCTTAGAATGAGCTGTTTATATCTACATATGGAGTGTATCATTTTGCACAGAGTCCAACATGTTGTTTCTACAGTGGCCCAGGATGGACAAACCAAATGCTGGCTCTAGATAGAGCCATTGACATTTTTTTGACACAGTTGGTAGGAGTCTGCAACCTCACCACTAGATTCAACTAAATCCTACACACTAGAACAGGGGTCATTAACCTTTATTATTAAAAGCCATTTCTGACCAATAATAATAATAATAATAATTAAAGCTGCAAGCAGCTGTGATTTGGCCCTTGCTCTCCCGCGCCAATGCGGGGAGCCAGCAACACGCATCACTGAAGCGGTTATGTGAAAACTCACAGTAAGTTAACCCTGACGTGGTGTTACGTTTCATATTCCTATTCCAAAAAAAACCTTATGGGGAGGGGTTTTTGAAAATTTCAAGGGGGCGCTATAGAGGCATTTTGTCCCCCCCATGGGCGAAGCCCCTATCAGATGCAAGAGCTCGCCATTCTTGACTTGTGTATCAATTTTCATGAGGAGATGAGGTCGTTGAAGCCATCAAAATGCCAAACGTATTTAGTGGCGAAGGATCGATAGTCACCATGCCGCCACATGGACACCATTAGACGTAGCTTCACAGCGTTCGTAAGGTAGCTTTAACAACTTGTTCTGCATGCATTAGAAGTGGAATGAAGTTGATGCGGTCAAGTTTGTGGCATTAGTACATGTTAAAGTAAAAACTGGTCACTTCCTGTTACCACCGGGGGCGCTATGACTAACGTGGGATATTAACATTTCGGGGTGGAGCCATCATCATGTCCAGCATGTTTGAAGTGCTGACATCAAGTATGAGTGCGGGAGAGCCGTTCGAAATTCAATGGCAAGAAAACGAAAAGTTGCCATAATTTGTCACGCCCTAGCGGCCACGCCCCTTGAAATAGAGAAAAGCTTTTGATAACTTTTGATCAGCATGTTGTCAGGATGATCTGTAGCCAATTTGAAGTCGATCGGACCAAATCCCTAGGAGGAATTCGTTCAAATTTAACTTGTGGAAATCACCGTAACGAAAAAATTCAAAACAAAATGGCCGACTTCCTGTTGGGATTTTACCATGACATCAAGAGACTGTTTTGTGCGTCTCTGCCTATGACAAACTAATCCCAATGGGGAGGGGTCTTTGAAAATTTGTAGGGGGCGCTATTTCGGCATTTCGCGTCGACCATGTGCAACGGCCCAAAAATACTGAATTTAGGATGTGGCCGGATGAATGTGGAAAGTTAGAAGCATTTTGAAGTTTGGGAAAGGGGCAAAATTGGGGCATGAAATGTCGCAAGAATAATAATAATAATTAAAGCTGCAAGCAGCTGTGATCGGGCCCTCGCTCCCCCATGTAACCGCGGGGGCCTGAGGCACGTGGGTGCTGTGGCGCGAAGCGAGAAGGGAGAAAAAACCTGGCAGGAGCAAAATATGCAATGTTTCGTTCATCCACCAGGTGGCACTACGAGCGTAACCAGATGTGGGCAGGTGTGATCAGGGGTGGACCGTCATCACGCATGTGAAGTTTCGAGCAAATCTGACAATGTCAATGTATAATAGGGCATTTCCTGTTTCCACAAGGGGGCGGCATGAGCGTAACCAGATGTGGGCAGGTGCGTTCAGGGGTGGACTGTCATCACACATGTGAAGTTTCGAGCAAATCGGACAATGTCAATGTATAATAGGGCATTTCCTGTTTCCACAAGGGGGCGGCATGAGCGAAACCAGATTTGGGCAGGTGCGTTCAGAGGTGGACCCTCATCACACGTGTGAAATTTCGAGCAAATTGGACAATATATGAAGGATTTATATCAAGTTGATGTTCCGTGGCGAAGGATGAAAAGTTGCCACTGCTGCGGCCTGCAACATGACAGGACACGTGTGTCACTGTGGAGATTCATCAACTTGATCGTCATGTGGCCACAAAATGGAGTTGATCAGGTCAGGAGCTTGAGGTTGGCGTTTGTCAGTGTAAAAGATGCCATTTCTATAAGGGGGCGCCATGAGCAACATTGCCTTCGAGCATATGGAGGTGTTGAGGGCGGGGCTCTTATCATGTACAGAAATTTTGAAGCAGTTTGGATGAATTATGTGGGAGAGAGAGCTGCTTGAATATGCATGGCGATGGATCAAAAATGGCAGCACCATAGCAGCCACGCCCTTTGACCTACAGACATGCAGAGCACAACTTTTGAGCAGCATGGTTTCTGGATGATATGTAAAAACTTTGAAGTCGATTGGATGAAATCCCTAGGACTAGTTCGTTAAAATATAACATGTGGAAATCACGCCAAAATGACAAGTCAAAATCAAAATGGCCGACTTCCTGTTTGGAGTAGACCATTGGTGCCAGAGACTTTTATGTGCGTCTAGACAACATACACATGTGTACCAATTTTCATGTTCCTACTCCAAAAAAACCCTTATGGGGAGGGGTTTTTGAAAATTTCAAGGGGGCGCTATAGAGGCATTTTGCCCCCCCCATGGGCGACGCCCCTATCAGATGCAAGAGCTCGCCATTCTTGACCTGTGTATCAATTTTCATGAGGAGATGAGGTCGCTGAAGCCATCAAAATGCCAAACGTATTTGGTGGCGAGGGATCGATAGTCACCATGCCGCCACATGGACACCATTAGACGTAGCTTCACAGCATTCATAAGGTAGCTTCACTAACTTGTTCTGCATGCATTAGAAGTGGAATGAAGTTGATGTGCTCAAGTTTGTGGCATTAGTACATGTTAAACTAAAAACTGGTCAGTTCCTGTTACCACCGGGGGGCGCTATGAGTAAGGTGGGATATTAACATATTGGGGCGTTCGCGGCGGAGCCATCATCATGTCCAGCAAGTTTGAAGCTGCTGAGATCAAGTATGTGGGCAGGAGAGCTGTTCGAAATTCGATGGCAAGAAAACGAAAAGTCACCAAAATTTGTCACGCCCTAGCGGCCACGCCCCTTGACATACAGAAAAACTTTTGATAACTTTTGATCAGCATGTTCTCAGGATGATCTGTACCAACTTTGAAGTCGATAGGACGAAATCCCTAGGAGGAGTTCGTTCAAAAATAAGTTGTGGAAATCGCCGTAACGAAAAAATTCAAAACAAAATGGCCGACTTCCTGTTGGGATTTCACCATGACGTTAAGAGACTTTTTTGTGCGTCTCGGTATGATACATGTGTGTACCGGAGGAATGTGGAGAGTTAGAAGCATTTTCAAATTTGGGAAAGGGCCGAAATTGGGACACGAAATGTCGCAAGAATAATAATAATAATAAACAGCACGATTTCAATAGGGTCCTCGGAAGACTTCGTTGTCACTCGGGCCCTAATAATAATAATTAAAGCTGCAAGCAGCGATGAACGGGCCCTCGCACCTTCACGCAACTCGGGGCGGCTGGCAGGACGTCTTCTGATGTGTCAATTCATTTCTGTCAAAGTTAGACATCGCAT